AATAAATTCTTCCTCTACATTCATCTGATTATTCTCCTCCCTCAAGTCTCAGCCCTTCATAAGTCGTTTCATTCTTTTCCACTGTGCTTATCTATGTCACCATTCTTCTCCTCCTACACCCCTTTTTCATTTCCATCCGTCATCCGTTTCATAATTCATCCCTTTCAACCAGTCATCCGTGCTACCTTCTTTTCTTTTCTGTATACCGTCGTTGTCGTCATTCTTCCCTTCTCTCCCAACAGTCAGATAATTTTCTTTTACCGATCATCCATGTTAATTAATATCATCACTGTTACCACTTTCATTCTCCGTCGCTTCGTTCTTATCCTCATTCTTGCAATTTTATCTGCATGTAATTCTTCTTTTCCCTACCTCCTTGTTTTTAGTGTAACTACTCTCCTCTTTCTTAGACGTTTTATCAAATTTAACTCCCTACCATTACCCGCCCTTCCATTCGTTTCTTACCTTTGTTTAAAAAGTGTTTCCCTCCCGACTCTAATCATTGTTAACATATCATCAGTGTTGCCATCTTTTACCTTTTTTGTCAGCTTCTCATCCAGATTGTAACAATTCTTTTGATTCACATCAATTTCCCTCGTCGCCTCCTAGGATCCAGGCCGCGGTATCTCGAAAAGCGTTTGAGATACACCATTTTCAGAAATCTGCAATTAAATTCAATGTACGTACTAAGGTTGAGAGCTTGGAGTCGAAAATTTAATGCGTTTTGAGATCCTGGGACCTGCACAAGAGGAGGCTTAAAATAACTGACGAGTCTTATAAAAGAAACTACTTTAAGATGCACTTTAATTCATCTTTTTTCTAAACTCTGGTTTTAAATTCGCATTTAAAGGCATGTCTTTTGTAGATTATTTTTCTGGCCTGTCTTACTCGTCTCTTCTCTCTTATCATGCGCATCCTTCTTAACATCGTCCATGCTATCAGTCTTTACATCCTTCCCTCGCATCCATGTTATTACTTTCACCTCTCCCAATCATCCTTTAAATTGTAACTGAAAGCATTACTAAAAAGCATTGGTATTACTTTAGAGCTACTAACGGAATAATATCTAACTTCACTTTGTTTTTCTAACTCTGACTGAAAGATGTGTTATGTGTATATACATATGTTATAAAACTAATGCCAAGACAAACTCAAGCAATAACATTATCATTTTCATAATCTGATTTTAGGGTATATTGTCAACTTTTGTAACCTGGAGTACATTTACAAATTAATTAGTCACTATACCGGAAGAGATGTCGTTCTGTGGCGGGTGACTACAGCACAGTCCCCCTGTGGCTGCACTGGACAGTTATACCTAAGTTTTTTTAATTCACAATATCGCGATACATTCTGGGCAATGAACTTGCTTTTACATAACCATGTGTTAATTTATAACTGAATAGATATTCCTGAAACTGTTGCTGGTGTCGACCCATTTCTATTGCATCTATATGCTTGGTTGGCCAATAGAACTTAAGTTTCAACTGTGAAACCAATTCTAAATGGTTTGTGCGTGTAACAATGCCTGAATATTTAAACATTTTATTATCAAAACCAGAACGTTTTTATCTCATAAAATACGTTATTTCAACTTTTCAAATCAAGTGAAATGGCTGAGCAATTAGTGAAATTACATTCTTCATGAACATTGCGTGCAATCGACAACTGAATATTTCAGGTCATTTCCTAATTCACGTAAAACGATACTTCAATGCTAAAGTATAAATTAGCAATTATGAAATATTTACGTGATGTCCATTGTACTGATATGAAAATGTGAATTAATTACACTGAAAAAAAGTGTGCAATTAAAGAGCATTTGATTGGTAACATTAAGGAATTCTTTATGAGGACAAATCATCAACGTTATTTGGAACAACCTATTGTCATGGAAAATGTTGATATGATGTACCACGTGAACTATCCCTGTATCCAATATGAACACAAAATAAAGAGGCGTTGGACATTTCAGTGAGGTTACATAGATATATGAACATTACGGAATTTATTGAATCAATCTTTCGATCACTTTCGTTATTCCTCCTAGACTTAAAACTCTGGATCCATAGCATTATTGACTGGTCATCGAAGGACGAAGGAGCTGTTTAATGCAGTTTAATTCATTATTTGGCTCTACTATATCTAATTTTGAGTTTATATTCACACGTTTGTCTTTTGTGTTATCTTAGATGAGGTAAACCGAAAATTGTTTGGTTCTCCTAAAAACCACAAACGACATACTCAAATTCGTAGAATTGACAACAATGAGCACCACATATGGATATAGCAGAAAGATGCACTTTCTTTTTCCCAAAACGTTAAAGGATGAGATAAGTCAAAATGATAAGCTGTACCTGTAAAGAAAACACAGACTTAATGGCCGTTAATAGGTAAAATCTATATCACTATACAATTTTTGAACTTTGCTGTATGCTCTGATGCCATAATTCCGTCTTCTTTCAGGTAGTGCGTATAACACTTACTTTCCCCAGTGTGCGTTGACGTTATATTGGGGTATTACTAAAAAAGCGTAGTCGAAGACGCTCTCATTTTCCAACTATTAGCTTTCATTATAATTTGATATTTTGTTCTCGATTCATTGATATGGAATCAAGCTTTCGTTAACAATGTCGAAATAACTTTTTATTCAATATTCTTTCCTTTGTATATATCTATTGATTTTCCCTCTTTTTAATTCTTCCCTATTTGTACTTTGTTCGATTCTGTAGTTCAGATCTGACTACACAACAACTGTCTGCATTCCATCTGCACCTGAACAGAATATAGTCGACCTTCAATAATTCTTACACCTTCCTTGCGGCTAAAAATCGTACGGATTGGGCGTTTAATGGACTGTCAAAGTTCATCGAGTTGAATACTTTCACAACTTTCTGTAACAGTGCGACGTCAAAGATCAGTATGGTAAGTATTACATTCTAGTATGGGATCAAGAATTTTTTTAAAACTGTCAAAGTAATTCCTTTACCTGTTAACACGTGTAATTATTTAATTAGGTTTTCGAAATATAAATCTATGATATGACAAATATCGTGTATTTCAGTTCTTTCTTCTTGTGGATTTATATGTAATAGCATCACGTATTGATATTAGATTTGATGGAAAGTGGGAAAGAACAGTCATTCAGACCAGAAGAAAATACATATCAACAAATACAAATGAGATTATCTTTCCTTATAACAGTAAAAATACAATCTAATTGACTAATGAAATGTGCTTTAAACAGTTGCAACATATGAAATGGCCCATGTGATAATCCTTGTGGTAGTCCTCATGTTTACAAATGATGTGCTAACCTTCTTTTTCCTTTTGATTGTTTTCTTATGTTTATAAAGTATATTTTCTGGATGGTAAGTTCCTCTCGAACACATCGGTTTCCAACAATGGATGCCAGAATATATTGTGCGGAGCTCGTAAGTATGCCGCATGTTTTTTGTTGTTTTCAACCTGCTTTAATGTCAGAAAGAGATATAATATAGTAAAATCGATAATGTTTTGTGCAGGTGTGGTTGATCAAGCAAGCCATGCTCCTCCTTCTGTAACATCTAGTCCTATTTCCTTAGTACTTTTTTTTTTAAGATCTCAGTGTATTTTGCGTGAATGTCAATGTGATTTTATCTTAAGCAGATTCGTTTAACAGCCATGAATACTCCTCCATAGTAAGGGCAGTTGTCGAGAAACCTCTAATACAAATTCAAAACCAATGAAGCCTGGCAAATATCAATCAAAGAAAATTGACATGGATGGATGAATTCGGTGAGAAAACCAGGAGTATTTCTTAAAAGGTCAATCTAATTTAAATACAAATCATTATTATACGTTATGAAAATCCGACGGTGGCCGGTAAGGGGTTACGTTTAGATTTCCTTTTAACTAACCAATAAAGACGTGATTGGCAAAATCTTGCCAGAGCCTTTTTATCTTCGACTCTTTTCATGGATGGTCGTAATTTCACAAACCGCCTGGCACTGAAAAGAATATTTTGGATAATGTATGTGGTATCGATGGATTCTCATTACCGTAACTACTTCTAAAGTGACACTTTAAATATTTTCAACACTGCTTTTATTACCTGTCCATTACTTCATCTTTATTCCTCGAATTTGCACTCGCTGCTGAACAAGCATATGAGAGACGAGCTTTCATTGGCTGAAAATTGACTTTGAATTGTAAGCCTTGAAGTCATCTGAACGTGACCGGGTACCAACATAATTTCATAACGTGATGTTTGATAATGATCTGTGTTTTACTTAGAAGGCAGCAGGTCAAGAGTTGTACATTTTTTTGTGTATGATGCAGTTTCACAAATTAACTGGCATACGACTTATTTATAACTAGCTTTATGTTAAGGTTGTTAACAACTGTTTGTGTCTCAGTCAACCTTTTCTTCTTTAGTTGCATTCAAATTATAATCAAATGCTTTAAAACCAATAGTGTTTATTGAGTTTTTATTGGGGTGGTTTTCAGTAAACAATGATCTCATGTGTTCGGACTCAGTTAGCCGTTTGCATTTATGCATAACTGTAACACTTACTTACGTTACTTACAGTGAAAAGAAAGGAACAAACGTAAAATGCATATCTTTGTAAATTTATTGTAACAAATCGTTCCAATGAACTTAAAATAAAAATCGTACAACTAATCATCAACATGACAATACAGCGAAATTTGTTGTCATTTTGTGTCACAAAACTCGAGATTTGTAGTCTCGCTAGCACTTCACATAAAACATCACAAGACAAGATTGGAGAATCGTAAATATAACAGCAGTTCTACCATTGATAAATGACATGAAAATAATAGCACAAAATTAAAATGCACGGAGAGTTTTTTTTTATATATATTACAGTAAAAGTAAAAGGGAATGGATGGATTTTTAGATTGTCCATTAAAGATCAATACCTATATATACACATCTTCTTGAGGTCATGAGACATCAAATGCGTAGGTTTAAAGCTTGTGCCATTTTGCAATGTTCATCACTGTCTTGGAATTTCGCCTTCTTTAAAGGTACACTCGTCACACTGACGAGAGGCTAGCATTTTACATGAAAAATTGTGGAGAGCGTCATGTGCTTCTGTAATTAAAAAAAGGCTTATTATACTTCAATAATAAGTAGATCATTTCAGAACAGAAAGATTCTCATGGACAAAATTGCAAGGAAATACTACTTACTGAATTTGTTTTAAAAACACTGTCATAGACAGGGCTCATGTACGTATATATTAGGAAAGGATATAACAGAATAAAGAATATATATATATAACTTAATATAAATATATATATATATATAGAATGAATTCACTTAAACAGACAAATAGAACATTACTTTAGACGAAATGCTGCTCATTACAGGTAATAATATTTAAGTCAATCGATTTATTACGATTTAAAATTACCTTTCAATTTTTGTTGCAGAGAAAACCGCACTTGTCGTTCCTGCTCAAGTTCACTTGTCAGCGTATCTGGAAAAAAGAGATTCGAGAAATTATCACTGTAAAGAAAAGGTAGCGAGACATTATTAAGCATAGCTTCTGGTGGATGGGAGGACATCCTCTTGATATTGGTAACGAATACACTAATTTATCGAATAATGTTACATGAAATAATCATTCTCAGGTATTGTTTCCGCAGTGATCGTTCCATATTATGTATGACATTGAAGCCGAAGACACTTACTTTTCCGCAACATCTCATCTCATTGTCGTTGTAGTTTTAATAAGTCTCCATGTCTGTTTTCATAATTTGCCCTATCTTAATCTATTTTGATTTTGGGATAATATTCTGTTGACATGTAGATATTATCTTTGTTGTTGTTAGGTTTTTGATTTACAACTGTGTTATAAATGCCAGTTTATTATTTGTTATTGATGGAATTTATTGACAAATAAATTAACTTTGCTCTTTACAATTACACCTACCTTGAAAATGTTTAGATGATATATGGTTTCTTAATTAGCATGTGGTGGAATTATTTATGAATGAAGGGAAAACAAAATCTCTAACTAGGTCGTGTTTAACTTAAACTGAGTCGTGAATTAATAACAAAAGGACGTGGTTCATTTGAAGATTATGCTCGAAGCAAGACATATCGATGAAAATCGAACTTGCCATGCTCGGAGTGCTCTTTTAATGTCATTAGATGTCGAAAGAAAGGTTGAAAACAGTTTTCTTACATAAACGTGTTTTAATGCGATTTAATCTATCGGCTCGTTCGTTATGATTGCGAATTTAGATCAAAGACAATCATTTAAGACTTCTGTTATGCATTTTTTTCCATCAACACGAGTTTGTAATCTGTGTTCAAATAATTGTTGATCGCTTTTTATGAAATGCCTGACTTACTCCGTATTATTTACAGCGGAAATTTATCTTATTGCAAGATTTTCCTTTTCCTTTCCTTAGAAAAAATAATGATAATGGGTTTGATATATAACAGTTGGATCCAATACTTCTAAATTCATAAAAGTCTATCAATATGGTTCCCAGAATATGATACCCAAATCCGCAAGGGTCCTTTGTGATAGTTTAATTCTGGCATTTTATTTGTTCTCTATTTAGAAAATAAATAATAATTTCCCAGTATTATGTATGAATATAAACATTGCAATAAGCAAATCACCGGTACATATGTAAAATAATAATAATAATAATAATAAATTCCAAAGACTCTGGATTTCGTTCGATTGTAATATTATCTCGTCAGAAGTCCATGATATTTAAAAACTCTTGACCAATGGTCTGTTCCATATTGTCGGACCTATTTCGCACTATCTAAAGATGGAAATAGATGTTTTAACTCACCTCTAACTATTTGTAGTTGTTGTGTTATTTCATCCCTGTAGTTATGTTCTCTGTTAACCTCTTCTTTAAATGTTTCTGTAAATAAATAAGTGTAAAAAATCGATTCAGATGTTTGACATCGATGCGAACAAGGTGTCTCATCTATCATATATGAAAGGTTTTAGATATGGTTCAATTGAATTGCTAATCCGTCTGTTTTCCAAAAATGACAACATCTTATCTCATAAGAGATCAATTTATGTTTATGGTCCAACACATATACGCCATATACAAACATGGTTAATAGCTGAAATTTAAATAATGAATGACAGTAAAGGAATTATGTCTCGTTATGGACTGACAAGTGTTTGTTATGCACAATTTAACTCAAAACTTATCGTCATGGGCATTACAAAAATAGACGTGAAAGTTTTTGGTTTCAGTAACATATTGTAAATACTGCCTTGTATTATACAGTACTATTGCAATGGAATAATAAAGGTGACATTTTCACTTTTTCGTGTGTTTGTGTACCTTTGTGAAATAATGTGTTATATTCAATATTACAAAATTCTTTTGTTGATCCATTTGTCGTGTCATTTTTATATCATCATTAAAAATAAAATACCTTTCATTAGCTCAATATCTTTTTCTATTTTTCTTCTTGTATCGATCTCTTTCCGTAACTTCATCTGCAGTTCTTCTACAAAAAAATGTTTTAATCGTTTGAATTCAATAGCTAGATGTATGTCAAGACAGTGGCCAAACCTATATTTAAACATTGTAACAATTGATTAATCTTTTCGTATCTGTTTAATTATAATTGATTTTCACCAATCAAAATATGCTATTAACGTTGCAAATGACTTAAATCAATAAATCACATTCAAAGACATGTATAAAATATTAATATCGGAAAATTTTTATGGCGATAAATGAAAAATTAGCATTTCCGACGACAAAGACAAAATAATGCAATTCGATGCACGTTATATGATATTAATTTTCCGGTGTGACAGTTGAACGGATCCGGCGTTTCCTGAATATCATAATAAAGGTACAATATTTTCAGTCCGAGGAGACAAACCATTTAACCAATTTACCTTTAGATAGATTGATATCGTCAGCTGCCTTCTCTGTATGGTCGGCCTCACCGTCTGTGAAATCAAATGTGTAATTAATAATCCAAACTGAATATGTCGATAAATCAAGCAGCTACTGGTCAACAAAGCGTGTAATAAATAAGCGGAACGCAGTTTTATGCTCTAGCTGACACAGCACGTTTGGGGAGAGGTTTGAAATAACCTTTGATGTTAAAGGGCATATGTAATATGATCTGAAGTTTTATAGTCCGTATTTCAATGTTAACATTATCTCACATTTAATTAGGTATGTGTTTTGTAAGTACGACAAAGATAAAGGTAATTAATAATTTCTTCAGCGTTAATAAATGTCATAGGACATTGGAATGGCCACAGGTAAAGGACACATACAGTAGTTGTAATAATGGGAACATGAACCTAGCCAGAAAGTGAACCAGTAGTTCAAATCTTAATCGTTCCCTTAACGTCTAGTGACCGTTTCACCCAGCCATGTAATATTAAAGTTCTCGATTATTGAATAATATATATAAATGACGAAAGCGGTGACTGTTCCCTTCAGCTCGGCATAACGCGTCTACATCATCAATACTTGATAAGGTGAGTGATTAAATGGCACACATAGGCTAAATTAAAAGGTGGATTATATTAAATTACTGTTACAAATCTCACAATTCAAGGTTGGCATAGAGTGGTTAATAATTGAAGCGGATGAGTTTAATAATAAGTGTATGATTAAAATGAGTAAAATAAAGCCTGTATAGGAACACTACCAACATTATGCTGAATACAACAAAATACCTGTAGGTCTATTTCAATCATAATAACAAATATATATATAGGTGTTAGACGTTCTATATTATAACCAATTGCATGCGGTATGGAAGAAATATAAATGTACCATTGAAATTTTTGTCTGCCTCAAATGTCGGTTCGTCTCGATTCTGACAAAGCTCATTGCTGTTTTTTGTCGTAACGTCATCTGCAATCCAAACGAAGATATATTGAGTAATCGGGGAACATCTGTTTACTTGACTATATGTGAACACAGCAAAGACGCCGTTGTGCATACAAACACTATAAGAAAATATCAACATGTGAAAATAGTCATAATCCAAACTTTTGACCTGCTATATAACATGACAGAGATGGTTGCTGCTGCGTGATTTAGTCATCAATTTTTTCTATAAATAAAGTTATCATGTATCGATTTGTTAAAGACAAAAGATTGGAGAACAGTGAGACAACACATACACATAAAACTCACCTTCGGCCGAGGGTTCCTGATTATCCTGCAAAACGTAATATCATATTTAACTGATTCGTTGTTCTCTTAAATTGTGATAGTTACAGTGTTGCGGTAATGTTTTATCAACAACAAGGAAAGAGAAAATAAAAACAAAACATTGGTAAATTAAAATATTACAACTCGATGAATTTTAAGACTATGAACTTGCATGCTATGGTTCCACTAAACATTCACGGTGTATTTTACAAATATCTGGGAGAAAAATGTCTTACCTTCCTGTCCTCCGGTGTTTCTTTAGTAATTGTGAACTCTGGTGAGTACACAATGCCATTGCTTTTCTCACTGTATCTAGAACCAGCAGGGCTACAGACATTATCAACTTCCTCGCTGCTAGTATCGTGCTGTAGGTCTTCTTTGTCTTCATTTCTTCCCTCATCAGTGATATCAATTTCATCGTCTGAATCGTCGTCGTCGTCTCTATCACTATTTCTAGCACTATCAAGTTGATCATCAGGTTTTTTCACCAACCTGAAGGCAGAGAACCTCTCTCCATCCGAATTGTTATATGAAGGACTATGATCTGGAGACGAAAGGTCATTGTCATTACCATTATCATACATATCAACCACGTCTTGATTGTTGATATTCTTAAAAGGGTACATAGCGCCCCTGATACCATTGCGGTGATGGGCGCTCATCTGAGAGTTCCACAACATGTTATAAGTAGGCAGAACCCCGTGTATACCCCATGAGGTACTTTGTAAAGAGGCTGCCTTTGTGGTATCAATGCCACTTTCTTTATTGAATGGTAAACCCAAGCTAAAAGGGGGTGAATGGTTTAGCTGACCAAACTGATATGGTTTCCCTGGCAGCGACAGCAGTGGAAAGGGTGAATATGGAGACGGATACATCGGTTTGTTTACAACACAGTCGTCAAGTCGAAGTCGAGTTTTCTTTTCTGACGGCTCTAACTTTGAGGGTAAAACACGACTCGAGCTTCCATGGCTACTTGACATGACTCGCTTCCGGTTTCCGCCATTAAACATAGCCTTTACATCTTCCCATGCACAGGTTATATCGTCCTTTTCACATGGATCGCAAAGTTTCAGGTGGCGTCTCCATGAATTAAAGTTAGCAGCATCAGGGTGATTATATTTAGAATCGGGTGTGCGATGAAAGTGAAATATGAATTTATTCGGGGAGAAGTATGCATTACAAACAACACACTTGATGCATTTTGCTCTTGAGCTATTGTATCGTGATGGCTCAAACTGGCCTGTGCAACCCCAACCACACTCGTGTTTTACGTCGAAACGAAAGTTTTCGGGTAACTTTGGGGGTGAATTGTCTTCCAAAAAAGATTTGACCAACCTTTCCGCCTCTCTCAGTGTGATCATACCACAGCGACGGGAAGATATGGGCATCGCCCCAGCCCTCCTCAGGATTTCAAGTTGTACGGGTGTACATTGTACACAAGTGATACCCAAAGCCACGCGCCTATTATGTATTTCATTATAACTGTAATTCTTAAGCAGAGTGTTACTAATCTGGGCGAGACAAAGTCTTTCTTTTTGGTCGATGAAGAGGGATACAATGGGAACACCCTGGAGAATGACACTGCCTACGTGATTTTGACGAACGTATGTCCCGTTTGCCAGTCGCAAATGTGTCTGTGCGAGAACTTCGGGGAGAAGAGACGACATATCAGCATTGTCTTTGTCCATAGTTGTAGTATTACTGCTAATATCCTCCGAAATCAGTGGTGATCCGTCTCTGCTAGAGTCATTCTGAAAAATACAATATTTAGACACACGAACTACTAAAGGCTCAAGAAGTTTTGTAACAAGGTCGATACTTGTTTAGCTGTTCATCTATGTAAGCATTCACATATGCAGTATTACTGGGGAAAATCAAAACGAAATGTCAGTTCGCCGAAGTTCATATGATGTTAAAGCTTTGTTTTCTTTAATCATAAATAAATTGGTTTCACCTCATATACAAATGTAGTCCCAGACGAAACGTAGTTCTGAATATTTCCAGTATCATACTGATCACCTCACGTTTAATGTCGTCTTTTACCTGTAGTTAATTTGAGTGTGCATGACTCTACATGTTCCTCTCTATGATAAATTACTATGACATAACAATATGCATTCATATTTTATACGTTTATAATAACTTCCTGTCACAACCATGCTATACACCATATTAGATATCACAACATCTTTTATAACGTTGTTGTGTTTGTGGTTGAATAATTATCGATGTCGCTACTAAAGAAATTGAAACATTTTCTAGTTTTAAAATGAATAAAGTGTCTTTATAAAATTTTGATTAAAAAGAAACACTATCAATCAACTATTTAGTGAAAACAGAAGTTAATTAAGACTAGAAGAAAGTAAAAACATAATTATTATTTAATGGTGTTTTTAAAAAATACTATTCCTTAATGGAAAATCGTTATGTTTACACAAGACTCGTTTAAAGAAAATTTACGCCATACATCAAGAGCATAGACAACGCTATAGTTTTACCGAGAGAGCAACGATACTCTTTCATTTGGAATGAAAATGATTTGCTTGCGTATCTAATCGATATTTTGCCGATATGAATATGTGCTATCCGATCCATCGGCAGTAAATGATTTCCAGCAAATAACGGTAGAGTTGATGTTGAAATAAGAGATGTTTTGGGTGGTTTTAGATTTTATTAACAAAGGAAATGGTGATGACTGGTATGAATAAAGATTGATATTGCTTCCGTATTAATAACAGCAGACGTCCGGCACTAATACCACTGATTTATGATGATTTGAATACAATATTTTCTCGCGGTGTATTTAATGAAAGAGAAACCTGTGAATCTCTGGCTAATTTTGTAAACTTAATCAACTCCATTTTCACAGACATATGGTCTAGTTCATCTTATAGGAGAAAGTCTAACCTTTTCTGTCAGTATTAAGAAAGACAACAATAACCAAAGGTTCATCAAACATTGCAATAGCATACCGCCATTTACCTGTGTCACGGTATGGAAGCAGCGTTAGCTATCCATATGTCCCGTCACCTATCAATTACTGCGCGCCTCTCTGCATCTTATTTCAAAGAAACGGTCGGTGGTATCTTCAACAATATGTTCTCAGAGAGGAGTTAATCACCGATTAAAGTTTCTGGGACGGTGATCAATAGATAATGATACATTAGTTGATATTTATATTACACTGGATATCTAATTACCTATTGAATATTTTACAATTAATATTTTTTTTGTGTTTGACTCTTTCCTAATTTCAGACATACTTTTTAAACCTGACGTTGTCCGATATTTATTACAAAAATAAACGTTTTCATTTTTATGATGCAGACTGAAGCTGATGAAAATATAATTATTTAATTGCGATATGCAATATCTTGTTTCAAGCTACAAGTTAATTAACGGGTGTGGTACTGCTGTGTGCATTGCCAGTTGCTCATAGGTAATTTTATCTGCTGAATCTAAAAGTTAATTGAAAGCGGCAGTCTTTGACATCAAATTTCTTGGGAGTCATAAACACAAACGACTCCTCTGATGATTGAAATAATTTTCAATACAACCTTGTACCTAGCTCACCGATATGTTTATGTATCATCAAAAGACCGATGGCATGCTAATAATTGTTTATTTGCATGACCATAAGAAACTTAAAGAATAATTAAAAGTGAACACCGCCATCTTGGCTTTATTTTCCTTTATTTCACGATCAAGAATCATGAATATTAACAGTTGATATTTTAAACGGATATTGTTCATTCGACATGATTCATTATGAACGAAATGGCATATCTCTCTGATAAAATCACTCTGAGGTAAATAATGTGTTAAACAGTGAAAAAAATCGATCAGACTCAAGCGTGTTTTTACTACTAATTTGGATTTTTATGTAAAAGTAGAAGCTACAAAGTTTACAATTAATATATATTTGAAAAGAGCAAATACGTTTTAACTAAAAAAAATATGCATTTAAGTTTGCGCACTAGTATTTGAAAACTGGTAAAAATTAATTGTCTTTTTTTTCAACTTTAACACATTTTTACTGGCATGACTGTAACTTTTAAGAAAATAACAATTAATGGTGCAAAACCGCTGATACCGGAGAATAATCGAAGATCTCATAATATATAAATTCTATAGGAAACGTTTTTATTCATATGATTTTTGTCTTCCTGTATATTTCATTCGGAAAACGACATTAGCGATATATAATGTGTAGGATATGTCAATGTTTTAATAATGAAACCCGAAGTGGATTTACACGGAGATTACAATGATAACGGAAAGATTAATGGAAACATCATGTTTTAGCCTACTCGCTTAACATCACTGACGAGTTGTAGAAGGATGAAACAGCTGCTTTATGCAGTTTAAAACTGTACATTTGTATAAAAATGTGCTGTTTATTTTGTATAAACTTGAAAACATTTCTGTCTGAATACCGTTTAATTACTCTGTCCGCTGCTTCATTCTAAATGTATTAATGACAATATTTAGTTAACACTCGGTATATTGATATATTTAAATACATATATAAGATTAAGTGGCAGATTATGTACAAGTCAATCTTACAGAATCAAACAACTTCACATAAGTCATAAAACATACTTTCCGTCAATAAAAATTCAATAGCAAAGCATTTTAACTTTTATTACAATTATTACCTAATGCCAGTTTAGAGATACATTCACCATGAAACCTTAAACATAACTTAATTCAGTGGTAACAGTGCTGTATAAGAAGATGATATTGCCCTTTCCATCAAATACAGTAATAACAAAATGACACGTTGACATTAATCAACACAAGAAACAGGTCTGAATAAATCCATCCCATACAGATTAGCTTAAGTTAAATCAAATAAATACAAAATCATCGACATGTGACACATTTATTACTTACCATGATTGTGACCATAATTCGAAAACGTATTCACAGAGGAAAGTTCATGCCAGTTTTTATAAAAATGTAATCTTTCTTTTCAGAAATCAAACAGAACGTGTCATCTTCAGTTAGAGTGATGATAGATGATTTTATACACCACTTAATAGTTGAGCCCAACGCTGTATCTGATGCTGCTCCTATCACTGGCCTAGTGACAATGACGGTCCATTTAGCATAACTGTCACATATATGTGTTGACAACAAGGTACAATTAATGATGAACACTTTAATTCTGACATATGGCAGACGCACAACTTTGTTTCTTTGGAAAATTATGCATTGTAATATTCAACGAGCAATGAAAAATTGTATGATTGTTGGAGGAAGCGAGGATAGATGCGGCACAGGAGGCGTGTTACAATTGATCGAAGATACAAGAAGCTATCTCATTGGTCTATTCACCGCAACAAATTGCTTCTCTGAACCAGTCATGCGCGACCACACTAGACTGACAGCAAACGTCACCGCTCTTTCATTCCAAATATTGTATTGAAATCCCCAATGTAATTCAATTTGTCTACTGACAGGATCGGAAATAATTTTGTGTTCCTTTTTACATTTTCAACACAATTCAACTTCGTTTAATATTCAAGAACCAACATAGCCGGACTTCTTTTCGGAATTCAAACTATTTTACAGGCATGTTATATATGGTTAAATAACCAGGTAATCAATGAAATATTGTTCCAGTACTTAAATGATATTGTACTTTTTTAATCAACCCCTTCGACAAGTATGACTGCAGTTGAACTTCCGACATTTGTCTTCTATTTCTAGCAAACAATATTTCTAACAAACTATTCAAAGTTTTATTACAACTGTATTTATGCTACACTCTTTTTCTGTCACTCATTACAAGTTTTAGTGTCACAGTTTGACCTTTTGTGTTAAGTATGTGTATGTGTGTTTTTCTTGTGTTTTATTTGTTGATGATAGACAAGTAATTGACATGATATAGCTCCCTCCGTTCTTTGTTGATATCCCTGTTGTTACAAAAACAATTTACCTGCATTTACAACATTCTTTTACCGTAATAAGTTTCCAGTGCTTCACAACTGAGGTAAATGTCATTTATTTTCAAGAGAGAGGTTTATATATTCATTGTGCCTATATGGACTTGTTTTATAGCCTAATTTAGCGATTGTTAAAACCTAATCCAAATAATATATTAATAAACAAATACGAAACGTTTTTGTTATATTGTAATTACATGCACTGTAATCAATTATTTGCGGTCTATTTAATTATGATAGGCTACTTGTCGCAAACGTCTCATCTGTTGCCAAATATTGTTTGGTGGTTGCATTGATTACATGTCTTCATGATGTAAGATAATGCTTGTATCTCCTTTTCTTTTATGTTCTTTTCCTTTGTTTTCTGCTTCCGTGAAAAACGAAATTAATTATATTCTTATCTGTCACAGATGTTTACAATAATATAACATTTTGATGATATAAAGAGAATTCATTGTCCGTTCTGATGTACATGTGATTAGAATTAAGTACTGACTTAATGTGTTCATTCATTGATACCTAGTTATGAAGCTGGTGTTAATCAGTGAATATATAGACCTATCATAAATTGAATATTTGTTTACTTTTTCACACTCCTGAAAATAACATTATGTAATAGCTTTGATACATGTTGTAGTTGTTTAAAATTACTCCGTTTATCAGCGATTGATAAATGTGATAACTAAACAATATATGAAACGTTGAACGATAACACCGATAAAAGCGTGACCTGGCTTGTTTACCAAATCATTAAAATTCTCATTGCAATTTATACAAAAAAAAATGTAAAATTTTTCAGCATGAAATATTGGATGGTATATAAATGAGATTTATATACTTGTTTTAAATTACTTATTTTGGTATAGTACTACCAAAAAATATACGAAAGAAAGTATAGATTTTATCGATGCATATCATACCAATTGTTTTATACGTGATGTGCATATAAAACTTTACTTTTGGTTGTTTATTTTTTATATATCAAGTAGTAAACCATTTTATTCATTCAGGGTACTTAAAATGTTTAGAAAACTTTCCTTGAAAATCATACTATATATATTTAGTATAGAAATCAAAATATTAAAAATGTCTGTTCATAAGTGGTCTATTTTCGAAAGTAATATTGAACCTAGAAGCTATCATCATTCAATAATTGCTATATACCACATGACATTTTTACTGGAAAACTGGATTCCCCCCCCCCTTATTTTCTGATATAGCGTTAGGAAGATTAATTCATTTTTGTGAATAATCATGTATATATCATCTGACTGCTAAGAATTTGGAAATGAAGGCAGATATCTATCGTATAGGTATATCTCTTCTGTCACAGATGTACGTAACTATGTTGAAAGAAATGGCGCCATCCACAAATGAGCCGAAAAATACTGATAAAAATAATTTAGTTTAATTCTGAATGCCATTTGCTAAAACTCATGAATTATTTGTCTGTTTTCAAAGACACGTTTTAATGTTCCCTTTTGGTTTACAGTAATTATTCCCTTTCAAGAGTATTTTTCCTGTATTTCTATCATTGGCGGGAAAACAAGTTTTGCATATTTCATGACTTTTAATGGTAGAGTTCTGCAAAGTAATTCATTGTCAGGACACGATTACCAATATGCTTCTACTAAAATGAGGCACACGAACACTGGCTGCTGCAAATAAATGGAATTCACAAACGCGTAACGGGCTGGCTTTTTTTTTACCTGTGCACCTCATCCGCATTGTACTCTCTGCTCGAGCTAAATATTCACACCTGTTAAACCAATTAGAATCGTTTATCTTTGTGAGCAATCTTTCTATTTACCGTTTTCGGCTGGAAGAGCGGGAATGTTCAACGATATAGCCTGCGGGAAAAAAGTCAAAAGATTAAAATAAAGAATATTAGAAAAACAATTATGGAATTCAAATACTTTTTACATATGTATTTACTGCACGGAAAACTCAGTTCAACAGAAAAGGTTTGTTCGCATAGTTCAGATAACAGTAGTAGTATGTAAATCCTTCTTTACACCAAAGGCTACATTAACATTAACAATTTGTATCTGAACTTGAAAAAAATAGCATGTATCATGTAGCAATGATTTTAATGCAAATATAATAATGTTAACTACGTCTGTATTATACTTGTAAACAAGAAATGGAATTATCATTAAGGGTCAACTAAATAGGTCAAATACCATCACATTGTAAAAAGTTGAGTTCCAGTCGTGTTAATACACACAACTACAATGATATTTCCGCGTCAATACTAGCATTGATAGTATGACGTATAACGATGTCAAAATGTATATTAAAGGTGAAATGATGGACCATTGTCAAATGAACATGTATTGTTATCAGTATATATGCATTACTATAGAGTCAAAAGCACAGGCAGAATAATACCATCATCATACACACAGTGAAAATGTAACCCTGTCAATCACAAAAAACATAATATGCTTCACTTGAACAATATCATCTCCATCATTCTCGAATCTGTTTGTAGGACAATATTAATTAATAATTTGTTTTAAATGCCATTTATGATATGACTTTTATTAATCATTTTATGAATCCATCATATATCTTTTTCGCTAATTGTTTATTTGTCAAACGCTAAAATTTCTATGTTCATACCTTTCAAACTAAACAAATCAGTTATGTTAGAGTATGTTGCCATAAAAAAAGAGTTAACGGAAAATAAATCACCTCAATAGTTTAGAATGCTTTTAATAAAAAAAAGAAATGACGTATTATTGATTCGATTCTAAATCTATGCATGTGTATTTCACCTGACAATACTTGTGCAACACACAATACACCTACTGAACCCTTCCTAAATCGAGGATTGTTATTTGTGGCCATTCGTACCGATATATCAATCAAGATGATGGTGTCCCGACTTTAATCGTCTTTTCTTAAATAAGCAATATGTTTTAATTGCTGTTGTTATTGTTACCGCGAACCATCACAGAATCTTTTCCTATCATCAGTTATATTCTGACGCTAAGAGGATTTTCTTCGCTGAATAGCGGCACAGGTAAACCTGTATAAGTGGGTCAAAAGCCGGTTTTGTTGAAAACCTGTTCCTATTCAGTGAAGCTTTTAACGATGTGTCGATGAAACATAATGTATTAAATTTGCCTATTCTTAATAAAGAGAATTTCTATACAAAAGTAGCTCACGCGCAATGACAGTCAGATTAGACATATGACAGCTGAATTAATCAAGAAAGGGCAATTCTGTTTTCCGGAACATGGTTGTATTGAAGCAGGATTTTCCATCTGGTCTGCTATTGGTTATTTTGTGGTATTTGTTCTAACCCCACTTGGGTCGAAGTCTTCTAGATGTCACCCGCTATATCCAAAAAAGACAGCTATAATCTGTGTATTTTCTATGCGAATTAACCATCATTAGACGAACGTTGCAGGATATTGCATTTTGTCTGGATAACTACAATGGAGTGTATGTAGCTCTATATTGAATTCACTATTATGTATTGCACCACATTTTAGTGATTTGAACAGTGACACTAATTGATCAAATCACTGTAGATATATCTTTAAACAATACATGAAGAATACTGCATGAAAAAACCATTTCAGTTTATTATTTTCTAACATAAATACAAAAAATTCTCTTATCTATTCTAATTGAGTTATGAATTATAAATTTAAATTATAAAAAAAAAAATAGAAACGAAATATTCATGTAATGATTTCGTGTTTTATGACGCATGTATCATTTGAAATTATCATAATTTTTTAACCTATATCTTCATTCATATATGCAATGGTAAACTGTGAATGTAACTATGTATAACCCCCAACGTATTCTGGCACTCCATCCACCATTAATATTTAATAGAGGCTCGCTTGTGATCTGTGAATGGCCAGGTTCTTTTCTAGTGTGTAATATCTGACTAACAAAGCTGATATTAAAGGAATAGTCATCAAATTAAAGTACATGTCA